GTATACCTCTATCTCACAGTTCACTGGTTCCTGCAGCATCACCTGCACTTGCTTCAGGATTTCCACCAACAGTGCCTCCTTCTGTCTCTGAATTCCCTGCATCAGTTCCCTTCTGCTTGCAAAGTTCCTGCAACAATTTCTTGACCTCCCTTACCTCTGACTTGAGATTCTTCAGATCAGCAATGTCCTTCATCCCAGCCAGCTCCAACCTCACTTCGTTCATCTCCTCCATACCTACCAGCGACCCGTGCGATCGAGTCTTGTTTACCATACATAAAGTTTCCTTCGATCTGTGAGGACAGCTCAGGATTTCTCCCTCCCTGTATTGCCTCATAGAACTGGTCTACCGCCGCCCGTCTCGAGGATTTGGATCCGGGGATTTTACAGCCTCCTGCCAACCCTTCTCCAAAGATCGAGACCCTTCTTCGCCTCCAGATCGAATTCTTCCGGCGTCGGGATTTTACGGCAGCAAATCCACAGATCGCCACCAACCTGCGCCTTCCAAATTTGAGAGCCAGGGAAAGAGCTGAGCTCTGATACCTTTGTCAAGATCGGAGACAGATTTTACTAGAAATGGAACCCAATTTTAGAGAATAAAACGTATTTGGTGTGCGCCGCAAGGACCTAAACTAGGGTTCCTAAATCTAGATTACTTCCTAAGATAAGATAATTGCGAGTTTTGATATCTCTTTCATTCTCAGATGCAATTCGTTTTTATACAAAGTGAGGTAGTCTTAGCTCTCAAGCATCAGACAGCTCAAAAGTAGGAAAAAGACAAAAGAATGACCAGAACAGTGGTCCCCGACATCGATTAATGGCTAGGATTTCGTGATATCGCTTCGCTTGGTTTGTTTGTTGTTGGATCTTCATAATCCTCCCGAAAGTCTACATCTCCTCCTCAAATCTTCAGATAACTCAAACATTCAAAAAGTTCAGAGTATTCAGAGTTTCAGTTTGTTGCATCTCATTTCCAGGCTGAGTCCTGACACCTCAGCCCCACACGGTATCCCCTCCTCAAACCCTAGAAATCCTTTCCAAACCTTTCCTTCAAATGTGCATGTTTTCTGTGAGATGGATTTATGCATGTTTTCTGTGAGACAGTTTTATGCATAATTTTTGTGAGATGGATTTATCTTTTGGGTTGATGATTGCTTCGTAACCGCTCAATCTTGTGTTACATGGACTTGTAGACTCTGATCTACTGGATAAATATGTTCATATGTTCTATATTTCTCTTGCAGTGTGAGAGGATAATGTAGGTACCTATATTGGTTTGTATGCTTGATTTATTACAAGCTGTTCCTTGGTTCTATGACTTTCAGATTGATGCATATAATTGTACTAAGGGAAAAAAGGTGTCCACTTCAGGGTTCATTCATATATAATTTGGCCAAAAGTTCTTGGTGTATAAATGTAGTATAACCTGGCTTGAACATATTATGTGAAACTATACTAGTAATTCTGAACATTGACCTAAATTTTTGAAACTATGGTGTGAATGGATGGCAGGCATGGCTCAAAATGTGCTATCGAAGAGTGTTAAAATGCCAATTGACTCTGTTGATTGGAATGACTACAACACTAGAGTTGTGTGTGAGATTTTTGCTGATCAAGTAGTTGTGGGTAATCGTCCAAATACCCATTTATCCAATTCTAGGTATGACGAAGTTATTGAGCAATTTGCTGCAAAGGGCACCTACTGTACACATGCACACAATGGAGGCACTTGCAATTTTTCTGTACATTCTAGGTGACGGTTCATCAAACCAAAGGGCACAAAATCGTTTTAAGCATTCTGGTGAGACAATATCAAGAAAATTTGAAGAAGTATTGTTTGCTGTTGTGGAGTTGGGACATGATATTGTGCATCCAAAGGATCCAAACTTTCCTACTGTCCATGATAGAATTAGGAAGGATCGTCGTATGTGGCCACATTTCAAAGATTGCATTGGGACAGTTGATGGTACTCATATCCTTGCAGTTGTTCCAGATGAAGAGAAGATCAGATATATTGGTAGATCTAAATCAACCACTCAAAATGTGATGGCTATTTGTGATCATGATATGAGATTTATCTATGCATCTATTGGACAACCTGGATCAATGCATGACACAACCGTGTTATTTAATGCATTGCGAACCGATATAAATATCTTTCCCCATCCTCCCCAAGGTAATTATCACTTTCAGGGGTACCTCCAGCTCCAATAGGGGCTAGCTCCAACTGGAGTTGGAGTTCAGAGCTAGGAGTTTGTAGTTGGAGCCCTACCAAACAGGCCCCTAGAATGCTACACACTACGGTACAGAAACCACTAAGTCCTAAACTCATTAAAAATTTTGAAAGAGTCTCTCTTATAAATACGAACATCCACGACATGCAATTATAGATTAAACTAATAATAACATCATTCCCATAGCGCTATCCATCCATATAATCAAAGTTTTAAATCTCCGGCTATAGCTGCCGCTATAGCCGGAGATAGCTGCTGGGAACGGACGGAGCTAAGAGATGCAGTTTTTAGCGCTAAGAATAGCGGGACGCTAATAGCGCAATTTAGCCGGCAATAGCCGCTAAACTGGCCGTAATTTAGCGTAGCTAAATTGTAAAACGCGGCCGGTCTGGCCCAAGAGGAAACCGGCCCAACTAGACCAGAGTCGAGAGGTGGGTAAAGTGCTGCAAACCCTAGCTCGTAAGCTCCCAGCAGCACACTATCCATTCCAACTTCGAAGCGCTCACTCTCCAGCTGCAAGACAAGTGGAGGCGGCCGGCGGCAGTGGCGCAGAGGCGTCCGGCGGCGGCGGTGGCTTCAAGCGGATCGACCAACGCAAGCGGCTCGTGGAGGCGACCGGCGCCGGCTGCTGCTTCAAGCGGGCGTCCAACCAGCGGCGGCGGCTTTGAAGGCAGCTGAGCAGCGGCGCAAGTCCGACGAGGAGGTCCGTCAGTGCAACGTCTCCGAAGCACTGAAGCAGCAGCACCAAAGGTGACGGCATGGCACAACAATCCGGTCAGTTCTCACATCCTCCTCTCTTTTTTGCTTGTATGTTGCAGATCTTACAATATGTGAACAAGTTGTCCATATTTGTTACCTCTAATTTCAGATACTTGCCTTATGATGTAGATCTTACTATATGTGAATTATTTTCTTACTCCCTGAGATCTCTCGTTTGCTTGTTTCGCCTGTTTAGGTGGTAATGATAATACGTGCTATATCAGTTTGCATTATTTTGATGCTTAGGCAGCTTTGACGCTAGCATTAATGTGGGCTAAGTTTGCTTTTTGTATAGGTAATCCGTCCAGTGCTGCCTCTGTCTCAGTAGAAGCTGGACCAAAACAAGCTGGTATCAACTCAGATGATCCTGCATGGGCTCACTGTTTCTGCCCAGACATAACCAAGAAACATCACCTACGGTGCAAGTATTGTGACAAGGTCTGCACTGCTGGAATTACAAGAATTAAGTACCATCTTGCTGGAATTAAAGGTTTCAATACTACTAAGTGTCAGAAAGTTCCAAGTCCAGTGCAGCAAGAGATGTTTGATTTGCTTACCAAGAAGACTAGTGAAAAGGAACAGAAAAACAAAGAAAAGGAAGTGGCCAGAGCTGAAGTTGACATAGAAAATTCAGATTGTGAAAGTGGCAGTGAAGGTTCAGATCATGGCAATAATGTTCTTGTGGTGAAGCCAAAGGAGACAACAGGATCTAGTAGCTCTAGATCTGTAGCAGGTGGTCATACTATTGACAAGTACTACAAGCCTCCTTCTATAGAAGAATCTGCCAGTATGACACAAAGAGTAATTAAGCTAAGCAATAAGGTTCAAACAGCATTGACAACTCAGAAAAGAGAAGAGAGGAGGAATAGAACTTGTGAGTACATATGTCAATGGTTCTATGAAGCTAGTATTCCACACAACACAGTAACCCTTCCTAGCTTTGCTCATATGTTAGAGGCCATTGGACAATTTGGTAGAAGTCTGAAAGGGCCTAGTCCCTATGAGATGAGTGGATCGTTCTTACAGAAAAGGAAGGAAAAGGTGATGGATGGATTCAAGGAGCACAAGGAATCATGGGAGCTCACAGGTTGTTCTATCATGACAGATGCATGGACAGATAGGAAGGGTAGGGGAGTGATGAATTTAGTTGTGCATAGTGCTCATGGGGTACTCTTCTTAGATTCAGTGGAATGCTCAGGTGACAGGAAAGATGGCAAATATATCTTTGAACTTGTGGACAGGTACATAGAAGAGATAGGGGAACAACATGTTGTCCAAGTGGTGACTGATAATGCTAGCGTCAACACAACTGCAGCAAGTCTATTGACAGCAAAAAGACCATCAATATTTTGGAATGGATATGCTGCTCATTGCTTGGATCTCATGCTCGAGGATATTGGGAAGCTTGGACCAGTTGAGGAAACCATTGCTAATGCAAGACAAGTGACTGTTTTCTTGTATGCTCATACTAGGGTGTTGGATTTGATGAGAAAGTTTCTTAACAGAGACTTGGTTCGCTCTGGGGTTACACGATTTGCCACAGCTTATTTGAATCTAAAAAGCTTGTTAGACAACAAAAAAAGAGTTAGTAAGACTATTTAAATCAGATGAGATGGAGCAATTGGGTTACTTGAAGCAGGCCAAGGGGAAGAAAGCCAGCAAAGTGATCAGATCTGAAACCTTTTGGAAAAATGTTGACATTGCAGTTAATTACTTTGAGCCATTGGCTAACGTGTTGAGAAGAATGGACAGCGATGTACCATCAATGGGATTCTTCCATGGTTTAATGCTTGAGGCGAAGAAAGAAATTTCTCAGAGATTCGATAATGATAAGAGCCGCTTCATAGAAGTTTGGGATATCATTGATAAAAGATGGGACAACAAGATCAAGGCTCCACTACACCTGGCTGGGTACTATTTGAACCCCTACTACTACTTCCCAAATAAGCAAGAGATCGAGAGTGATGGATCATTTAGAGCAGGTGTGATTTCCTGTATTGACAAGTTGATTGATGATGAAGATATCCAAGACAAAATAATTGAAGAACTCAACTTGTATCAAGATCAGCATGGGAGTTTTGGACACGAAATTGCCGTAAGGCAGCGAAAGAACAAAAATTTCAATCCAGGTTCAGATCTCAACATGTGAACTTAATTTTATTGCTGAATATCATTTTTGTTGTAATTTGTGTAATGTTTATGCAGCAAAATGGTGGCTGAACCATGGCACAAGCACACCAAATCTTAGGAAGTTGGCTGCAAGGATTTTGAGTTTGACCTGCAGCTCCTCAGCTTGTGAGAGGAACTGGTCAGTTTTTGAACAGGTAAAAAGAAATTTGTGACCTGTAGCTTTATGTGCATGCTGTCTATTTTGAATTATAATGCTTATTTATGGAATTTAGATCTGACCTGCAGCGTTGTGTTCACTACTTGGCTTATAGGTTCATACAAAGAAGCGCAACAGGCTACTTCATGAAAGGATGCGAGATCTGGTGTTTGTTAAATTTAACTCCAAGTTAAGAAATAAGAGAGAGAACAAGGGTAGAGATCCTATAGAGAAGGAAGTGGATGATGTTGTGGCAGATGGTGACAATGAATTCATTACTGGTGTTGTGCCTTCATCAAGTGAAATGGATCAACAATGTGCAAAAGAGTCACAGCAGCACACAACACCACAAGCACCAGCACCAGCTAAAAGGAAAAGGCCTGTGCACGCTAAGAAGAGGAAAGTCAGAAGCCTACAGTCTTTGATGCGCAATGCCCCAGTGCATCCTGAAGCTCCATCATCCGACTCAGAAGATTGTGATGATGGTATTCCAATGCAGACTTCTGATTCTGATAAGTCACCCTCTCCCTCTCCCTTTGTCTCTTAGACCGATGATTGATGACTAGAAGAAATGAAGATTGCAATATTGCCTCATATTAGTAATTTAGTATCCACTATCCAGAATTCTTGATGACCTTTGTGTTGTACTGTTGTCTTTATTCCAGAATGCTGTACTTTTGTGAAACTGATGTTTCAGTATTCTGTTAACCACTTAGCCTGTGATGTAATGTACTCCTATGAACTTGTAATGTACTCATTTGAACTGGTTATGTATCAATTGGTAATGGTTATGAAGTTATGCCAAGATCATGTCTTTTATTTATTTATTTATTTGCAAAAACAGCTAAATGGCTTAGCTGCAGCTATCTCCAGCTATAGCTGTGCTTAGCTGTTGAGAAGGTCAGCAGCTAAGAGGCTTAGCCGGAGATTTAAAACTTTGCATATAATCCATGGAAAGAAACTAAAAGATATCTAAAAGATTATTATAAGACTGGACCATGATATAGTTTAAGTGTCATTATGGACCTAGGCAATATAGGTTGATAGTGTGCAGATAAATGTATATATAAGGGAGCTACTTCCCGCCCATGCATGTCGGTCTCAATGCGTACCTAAAACCAAATAAAACACAAGAGTGAGTATAAAAATACTCAGCAAGTACAATATGAAACTAGAAAACACATATACACATCATTGGCAATAAAGCATGAACAGAATGCTTTCTTTCTTTGATAGGAAACACATTTTCAAACACCAAGTCAAAGAAGATAGTAGTTCCCATCCCGGGTAGGCATGAATTGAAATAGTAGTTTCCATCCCGGACAATAGTGAATACATCCTAGCATTTGCCGACAAAGCCAAGTAAGCGTGATCAGCGCTTACCCACATGAACATGAATACAAAACTAGATAGCACATGGCTCGCATGAAACATGAATAATTGAAACCGGAAACAAAGAACCAAATTGAAACCATATTACACATCCATGGCAAACATGGAACTTGAATTATTTAATCAGAACCAGAATCCGGACTATCAAACAAGAATAACATCGTAAACATAAGATGAACTCGAAATCTAAATAGCATGAACAATCTGAACATATGTAATCACATATCACACATAAATATAATGAAAATAAATAGATAGAGCAATCACTCCAAGAATCACACAATTAGTTCGTCATGCACTTACCTCCAATGAAGGGTTGGTATCATACACGATCTGAAGGATCACAACCTAATCACAAACAAAACCTAAGCAAACACATTCAAACATGCATATAAAACAATAAAAAGGTGAACCTACTGCCCCATCCCGTTAAAACGCAATACAAGGAACGCCGCTTGGACTGTACACAAGATTGCTGCTTTAAACCTTTATATCTTGAAATATGAAAAGACTATGACTGAAAATATATACATTTTGAAAATCTACGGAACAATACCTACAACTTTTATGTAGAAAGCATATTTTTATTCTGCCATTTAAATGGTCTAATTTGCGCTTGAAAGCAAGCTTCAGAATCTGTCCAAAATTTCAGAGGGTACATACAAAACAAACTATATCTGGAGTTCTAATCATCCGATAAAAGTGTATTTTACCAATATGGAAAGCTTGGGGAAAACTCTACAGCTTTGTCTATAGGCAGCCTGACTGATTTTGCTGTTTAACCCCTCCATAAACAGTTCAATCTACTACTATCCAGATTATGACATAAAAACAATAGTCATACTAAAAATATTATATCTCCTAAACCACTTGAGATAAAATCGCGCCCTTTGGTTAGAAGATAAATCCAAATATTATCTACAACTTTCTAGTTATACACTTTTGCAGGAAATAACATTTAGAGCCCCGAAACATCAAAAAACTGAAGCACTGCAAATCTGCCCACATGCAGAACTGTAACAAACCAAACTGCAACAACCCAAACTCCTTCTCTAGCCTTCTCTAACCACAAATTAAAACACTAAAGCCATGCTAGAACAACTATACAACAAGGAGAAAAGCCTCACCTAGGGTTTCGTTAGAGAACTTGTGAGGAGACAATAGGGGAGACTCTGATCTAACCCCTCCTACTCCTCTCCTTCTCCTCGTTCCGTTTTTACACTTCACTTCTTGATCCAGGTTCTTGGGCTGGAGATCTATTCTCCTCGTTCCGTTTTTACACTTCGCTTCTTGATCCAGGTTCTTAGGTTGGAGATCTATGAGGGCAATTTGCTGTAGAGGGGAGAGATGCAAACATAGGAGGAGGGGAGGAAGGAGGCGTCCTTGGAGGCCGGCCAAGGAGAGGGATGGTGGCACCAAGAGGGGAGGTGGGATTCGGTTCCCCTCTCTCTAGGTTGTAGGAGAGAACTAATGGGTTGGGTTTATGGGCCTTCTCATGTTGGCCCACTTCTAAAGATATTTTTCTTTTATTTATTTATGTTAACATCTCTATTTTAACAAGTCAACCCAAACTAAAAAAATTCAAAATATCTTTTAATATACGGGGTATTACAGAGGGTCTGAGTGACTACAAGAAGAGAAATAGTGCAGTGAATCTACTCCATGCAATGATGCCCTAGACTTTGAATCTTATTACTGATGACAGGTTCACTACTTCTACCAAATAACTTCAAATAGCATGGGATCCTGATGGCATTGGCAATTATTTGCATCGGCTTGTGGACAAGCCAAATTTTAAAAAGAGAGGATTGTTAGAAACTCAATTGAACCACACATGGGCTATGTTAGCCATATTCCAAGCCCGGCCCAAAAATCCTTGAAGGGAGATAAAAAATAGCAGCAACGTTGATTGGAAGGCATCGAACGAATCAAACAAGCATCGGCGGCTTCGGCCACGGCAGCAGTGGGTAGTGGTGACCTGGTTCAGTCTGAACCTCGTCGATCTTCCTCTCTTGCTAGTTCCTCTACTGGAGCTTTCAGAACACTCTAGTCTCTTTTTAGTAGCTTGTATCCACACCTTTATTCTACCTCGTCCTAGCTAAAAGGCCTGTTTGGGAGAACTTAAGATTCTGAGAAGTAGCTACTGAGAAGTTAGGTGACTTCTAGTTCATTTTCCAGATTTTACAACTACAGATTCTCAGAATCTGAGTAAAAACTTGAACTGTTTGGGGGAGCTTCTGGCAACTGGAGATTCTAGGAGAAGCTGCAGCTATTAGAAACTCCCCAAACAGGCCTAAACACTTCCAAGTTGTATTGAGAACTATCATTGTTTTGAATTCAGTGAAGGAGGTTGTTAACAAAAATGGACTAGTGTAATTTGACCTTTAATCTAGTTAACACGAAAGGCCCAGATATACTAAATTCCACCCTAGTGAATTTGTATATTTCGTTGAGGAGAAGCTTAATTAGTCTGGAGAATCCATCTGTTAATTAATTTAGGGTCTCTTTGAAACATTGGATTGAAAAAATACAGGAATAGAAAAAACACAAAAATAGAATAGGAATTCACGTGTAAAATAGAGGAATGTAAACAATGCGTTTGAATTGGGTATAGGAAAAACACAGAAATATTTACTTAAGAACTTAGGCCCATTTTCCATTTCTAATAAATACACTGCATCCAACACAAATTTTATCCATTCATTGCTTGTTCTCCTGCTCTGAAGAAAGAGATTAGGAGCTTGATTGCCTCGATCCTACGCAAAGCAAGTGAAAAATGAGCTCAGACTAGATAGGAAGTTTCCTGTGTTTCTCCCATAGAATCAGCAACGAAGGAATATTTCCTTCAGTTTTCCTATGACCAATTCCTACAAATCAAAGGCTGCTACAGTGAATGAATCCATAGGAACTCTAAGCTTTAATCCTCCATTTCTTTATCATTCTCAAACCAAACCCTACATGATTTACCCTACAGACCCAGTCCATATTACCCCTCGTGAAATCTCGACAGTTACCTCTTTCCCAAGGATATTTAACTATCAGTCACTATTAGATTTAATAATTATCTAAATACCCCTATTAGATTTGCTCTTTTTTCTCTCTAAGAAAATGGCTTTTTGACACTTTTACCCACATGTAAAAAACGGAGTGGAACCCACTAGTCAATATTTCTAATCCCCTTATCTCTTCCTCATCCCAGTTGACCAGGCGGCGGCCAGAGTGGAGGAGGCTATGGCGGCCCTCTCCCGGGCGGTTGTCGAGACAGGTGCCCTCGAAGCATTGGTGTGGGGGCAACGGGCTCACGACAATCCCAGACCGGCGTAGGAGGAAGCGGCCAACGTCGAGGGGCGTGAGGCGGAGCTGGCACTACACGAGTGCGCCGAGGTGGGAGAAAGGCACGAACACAACCCCGTCCCCACCACTGGCGAGTGCAATGGGGGTCACTGTGTAGAGGAGGAGGGACTGGAGGGCGAGGAAGCGACACACTAGCTAATCTACCTCCATGATGTCGTCGAAGGTGTGGTCCTACCGCCTCTTCACCATGCCACCGATTTGGGACCGCCGCGTGCCCGTTGCCGTACCGGCACTCCAAGGGGCACTTATCTCCATTGCCGCCGTAGAGAGGTTTGCCGCGGCTATTGACCTCCACTTCAACCACCACCTAGGCCTCTCCGTCTGGTGTCGTCGCCTAGTCAACTAAGGAAGATAAGGAGAGTGGAGAGACTGACTAGTGGGTCTCACAATGTTTTTCACCCTTGGATTGCCACGCTGGCATGCCGCATGGGTAATGTAGCAAATAGTTATGAGGCCATCTTCTTAGAGCGGCAAAAAAATAAGAACAAATCTAATAGGTGTATTTGGATAACTGTCAAACCTAATAGTGACAAATAATTAAATTTCCCTCTTTACCAACGACAAGAAGCCATATCCGTATGCCCACATCCCCTTTCTTTTTTATTCCCCCTTACCATGGACAAAAGTTCAAGCATAACAAATACTTCCAGTTTGGCTCTCAAATTCTCAGCGTAGCCACAGCAGCTGTCAACCAAGCACCTCACTCGATACAACCTTGATGCCTCTGCTTATCTCACCAATGCAACCTCGGTCTCCTACCTCATCTCCCTCCCCAGACTGAACCCAGACATCTTTTCGCCATTGTCACCGGAGGAGATGCTTTGCTGTTCAGATAAAGTGGTGAACACACTAATATATAGTAGCACATATGCGTTCTCCAAGGTTGATCAGACATACATTGCAGAAAATTCAAGTTCCACAAAGCCCTCAACATTTTCAGACTTGAAATCATTAAGAAAGTATCAAATGCAAAATTGGGTTAAGAGATTGTCAATGAGAGAAAATATCATACTAAATGTGCATGCCCACGCAAAGCATAATAGTATTATGTTTTTTTTTTTTTTTGCTAGAGAACAATGCAAGCTGCACTAAGCATTTATGGGAAGTGCAACAACAAAGAAGCGCATGCTGCTTGCTGGAGCAAATATGAATGTCAAAGGTAGTGAGAGTGTGATCAACGGGAGCTGCATGTATTACATTGAAGATTTTCAGGGGCAGAGCTCCTAATTCTTCACATGATATTCAAGACAGCATGTCATATTTGTGCATCCAAATAATTAGTAAAACATTCTCGTATTATATTTGAACTCAACTAATATAACAAAAATCTCTGAATCTGCCATTGATGTATCACAGACTATTTCAGTATAAATTTTCGTGAGTGAAACATGAGAACTAGCTAGGATACTGTGCTTTAGTATATTGTGATATCATTATAGGTGTAACTCGACTAAGGGACTGATGAAACAAATGAATTTCATGGGGATTAGCTGTCAAAGGGACTTTCCCAGGTGACAAATGAAGACCACCAAAGTATTTGGCAATAAGTAGTGACACAGGTCACAAACATGTCCACAAGCATAACAAATGCCAAAAAAAAAAGAATTATGCAGGCTCGATGATCAAGATACTATCCTTTCCATTTGTAATTTGATCAATGGCATATACCTTAAGAACCAAGGGATCAATTCTTGTAGCGAAGGGGGGATTTTTCGCATTCAGAGCAGGGCCTAGTGTGTATCTCTCTAATGAGTAGAGACCAATGTATTCTGCGACAAAACAACTAACTTTGCTGCACTTAAGCCCAAGATCAAAATGACAATGTGTTTCTTTTATGGGGGGTAAAAACATTGTTTACGAACCAAACATACCCTAGTTCTAACCCTTCAAGGTTCCAACTCAGTTGTCCACACAAAAACTAAGCACTGTAAAATTGTGATAAGCATGAGCACACTGCAATACTGCACAGCAAACATGACAAGCAAACATTTGTGCAGTTAAAATGTGGAAACGCCATTCCAATAAACCAACAATGCATGCCCACGATGCTGCAGTAGAATTAGGTTTTGACTAAAATTGTTTAGGACAATGGTAATCAGGTTCGACCCAAATGGGCATCCATGATCAGTGATCAACAGCTAAAGAGTTTATTGAAGCACGCGTAAAGCCTCACAGGCTTTTCCGCAAGCACCTGGCGTGCAACGCAGAAAAAGGAAGAGAATCCCACCTCCAGCGCCGCTACTTCTTCTTCTCCTACTCCGCGGCATCCTCATCATCGGCGTCGAGGTCGTGCTCGTGGTCGTACTCCAATGTGAACCCCTCCCACTCCTTCCCCGCCGCGACGTCATCGACGGACATGGGCTCCAACTGAACCTCCTCCACCTCCTCCTCGTCATCCTCGCTAACGGACCACCCGTCCGCCTCGCTGTCGGAGGTGGAGTAACCCTCGGGCCTGGTGGGAGGACTCCGCCGCGCCATGCGCCGGGGGACCGACACGCCGAAGTCGCTGAGGCGCCGAAGCTGCACCGCCGCCGCCGCCGCGGGGCGGAGGCCGGGGTGGACCGGCGGGTGGCGCTCAAGCGTCGTCGCCGGCCGGGGAGGGAGGCGGCGGAGCAGGGTGGCGCAGGCGGCGCGGCGGCTCAGCGAGGTGGTCGCCCGCCGGAGCATGTCGTCATGCACTCGTGTCGCGCCGCCGCCGCCGCCGCCGCCGTGGACTTGACACTCCGCACCAGGCCGGCCTGCTAAGCCCTAAAGTTTTGGGCTGAAATGGTGTCGAGGATTTTTCTTCGCACACTGACCCGCCCAAGCATTTACTTTGTTTGGCAAATAGGCCGAGTTTAGATCCAAAATTTTTTTTCAAACTTCTAACTTTTCCATTACATCAAAACTTTCCTACACACAAACTTTCAACTTTTTCGTCACATCATTTCAATTTCAATCAAACTTCTAATTTTGACGTTAACTAAACACAAGGATTGGAAAATAATATCCACCCTTTAAAGGGTAATATTGCATCCTAACCATTCATTCTTCACATCTCATTTAATCCTAGCCATTCATCCATTTTCCTTTCCCAATCTCACCTCCCATATTCCATTTGTCAAACACACCCCAAGAGAAAACAAATACCCGGTGATATTTTAGTTCGAATCTGAATCCATAGAAAAATGCAGGTTAGGATACAAGAAAAGTTGTACATGTCCGCATGACTGTATGTCCCATGTTATCAAATATATACATGAAAATCTATTATGAGTGCTAAAAGATTTTACCAGCTCGCAAGTATTATTACATAATTTTTTTTCATGATGTATATCTTTTTAGCACACCAAGTGTCTCCCTAGATTAATATCCATGATCAAGAGATACAAATCTCTACTATTATAAAAATTGAATGTTTTTGCCGGTACTTTGGTACGTCGTCTGTGTATGAGTCGATTTTTAAGTTTGTTTATTTTTGGAAATACATATACGTATTTGAGTTAATTTTTAAGTTCGTTCGCTTTTGAAAATACAAGTTGTCGTATAAGAAATCTCATTAAAACAACTCACATGCTAACTTAAGACGATCAGACTTCTAACTGCAGCTCATGATTTTCTAAAAAAGATATATATTTCCAAGCGAATTTTTACATGATTTTCTAAAAAAAAGATATATATTTCCAAGCGAATTTCTACAGTAAATTTCACCTTAAGTAAACCGTATAACAATAATAAGATTAAAATAATCTTCACCCGTTGCAACTACGATTTGAAGGAAAAATATATGGTATATAGCTAAAAGATGAGTGATATGTTATCTGGTAATATACTGTATCCGGTTTTAATTTTGAAGAAAAATATATGTTAGGATACGTACCGTGATGTGACTGTACCCACCTGATTTTCACCCTAATAGCCATCTCGTTTGGTATCTAACTAGCAAGAGTCACGAGCTACGCCACGTGCGTGGGAATTAATGTTTGAAGCTGGGATATCATAATCAAAATAGCACAAGATATAGTGTAACTTTTAAGCATTATATCCAAACATTATCTAAAAAAAATCATTATATCAGAAGCATACTCACATATGCAAACACATTACAACTATACATCACAAGATTAAAGGCGAATATAATCCATTTGCTCATATAATTATTTTTACAATCATGCACATTTACAGAAAAGCAACAACCATAGAGGACAATGGTGCTTACGTGATGTGGGAGTATAGATTAGAAAAGTAGCAGTGTTCAATCATTAAGTGATCAAAGAATTGCAACATTTTCTCAGACATCTTCATCATGAACTAATTGAATATATTCACATATAGAACTGCGCCGCAAAGAAAATTTAGTGCTTTAGCTCCCAATAAAAACAACACCACATCACATTATGTACTTGCAACAGTTTAGTAGATGAACTGGTACCTCCTTTGCATAGCGCCACTGAGTACTGAGGTATCCCATACATAATTATGTCTAAGGGCATGTTTGGATATCATTCATATATTGCCATGTGATGAGTATATATGACAGGTAGGACAAAACTCTTTTCAAATAAACTGTGTTGAAACATCTATGTCTTCCAAGAAGGGGCAAACAGAACAATAATAAATTAAACAGAAAACAAATTAATAAAATCATATCTTGAAGTTGGTTGATAATGAAAACTCTGTAAGCATATTTACAAAGCAAATAATATAAATTCGGAAGGATGGGTCATTAGAAAATTCAAAAACTATGTCGAGATGGGAAAAACAAAAGCAGGAATAACGCTTGTATAGAAGAAAAATAATATCCCAGTGTGTCCCTATTGGAACATATGGCATGTCTCATCTAAAATTGTTTGAAGTGCATGTAGCTTTGTCACACACCAATGAACTGAAATAAAATTTTATGATCAACGCGGGAACCACACAGTATAGCCAGAGATATGGAGGCCTGGGTCATTTGGGGTGGCACATATATGTACTGTCATCCTATATGGACTACACATATCAACTGAGGATGGTACTATATAGTTTAGAACTTATACCTGTGGCTTTAATCCTTTCGGGTAAGCAATAGTTCGCCCTGCAAACAACACTAACCTATGGAATCAATGTTATATTAAATATTAAATATTAATAGCTTATAAATGGTTATAGCGGAAGAAAAAATGTTAGCCTCTTATACAAAGTGCCTGAACCTATCGTAATTGTGGTTTACTAAATTTCTTGTCAATATTGAAATCTTCAATTGAGCCAATTAGATTTCTTTTTTGCTAGGTGTGCAACATACTTTGTGATCAATTACTGTCTTGACTTATAGACCCAGCGCTAACCAACTTTAGTCGTTATAATATGATTCGTAAAATAATGTAGTCTCCAAATATGAGGCTAAAAGACCTGTGGCGGTCTATACTAAGCCCTAAAGACCGTTGTGTCTCAGAAAATGAACTACATGATCCAAATTTTGGGGTCATATGCCAAGTTGTCAGGTTGACAGATAATTTTTTTATGATGTATGCATCACTATTACGAATATAAAATTGTCCACAAAGGATATTATCAATGCATATGTATTTTCACTCTGTGTACAAATATAGAGCACAACAGATTAACAAATAAAATATGATTTGTTGCATAGGGAAGGAAATTGAGGAAAAACCTACTTGTACAATAAACATTATGCTATCATGACACTAAACCTAAATAATTTTATAAGAGATCTGAAGGCCACATATATCACCCAGATAAGACAGTAAGAAAACATATATACCTCCAAGCATAAGCACATAAAGGTTGCTGCAGGAAGATGCCATTGATAAAAGCACAGAAAAGGTGGCTGCAAAAAGACTGGTATACAATGAAGGAATATTGACATTACTTCAGAATTAACTCATTAACATCTATAGGAAAAGGGAAGCTAAGCCAAGAACATCAAAACTCGTACCCTCCAAACTAACTTAGTATATTTTCAAGTATATATCTTGGCAAATAAAATCACAACTTCCATGTAGTACCATGCCATATACTCATATCTACATTCTTGAATCAGTGTAACTGAGAATAATAAAAATCAGAATTTTTTTCAAAGCATATATTCTTTTAGACCAAATTTATTTAAGATTCCAGAAACAATTGGCCTGTATATGTACCTACGTACATCAGGATTACATTATGAAGGACCATGTATGAATCTTGAACCCAAGGTTGTTAGGATCGGGATACTAGGTAGTATCGTTTTGCTCAAAGTAATATCGTATCGTAGGATCGTATCGTAGTATCGGGATACTATGAGATTTTCTTTTTTAAAGTTTAATTAATATTTATATTAATTATATGTAGCCATTCTATATAAAAAATATAGTAATGATATATGTCATGCAAATAGAGGCATTTATTAAGAGAAACCACGTTGGTTTTGATATATTTAACTGATTTTTATATAAATTTGAGCATATTTATTTACATTATTTTCATACCATGTTATTTTAAATAATATTTCGTAGTATCGTAGGGATCGTAGAATCGGGATACCACCTAAGATTTCATAGGATCGTGTACTAATGAATAGTAGGATTGAGATACTATGAAAATTAGGATACTAGGTGGGATCGGTATCGTTTCGGCTTGGTAGGATCGTAATATCGTAAGATACTACGTATCGGGATACTGACAACCTTGCTTGAACCTGTACATCTCTGATAAATGACATAGATGGTGTATGGCCCATCTTCAATATTTTATCATTATTAGTGAGAAGTTATTTGTGTAGAAGTTAACTGATACAAAATTATAAGACATTATAATTAAGAAAGCTGCAGAAACAAATATATTTTGAGAGTAAACTTAGATCTTCTTCTAGGAATTTTACCAAGCATCTAGAAGGCATCTGTTAAAGAGAAAAATTTATTGGCATCACCCCAATTATTTATCCTCCTCCTTATCCCAGATGCACAGGATCCGATTAGCCAAAGAGAACAAATTGAACAGGAGGAATTTAGGCATCCTACCTGGACACGGTTGGTGTTCTGGACGATGACGATGAAGCAGCGTATTGCTCCTAGCCGCAGGCCCGCAGCGCAGGTCTATCAGGCCGCAACGGCAATGAATCAATCCTGGCAACTTGCGGCGGCAGCGAGATCCAACTCCATGCCGGGGGCAAAGGCTGCGCCGGTCGATGATGTCACTGAATAATTAATATATCTAAGGTCCAAGAGAACTACAAACTCAATATTGAATTAAGCATAACAGGCACAACACGTCAGAGAGACTTACTAATCACCATTAACCTGTATACAAAACAGAAGGTTGTAAATTTGCTTTATTAGTTACGAAATAATTTCAGCACATTTTACACTGGTACACTCCAGCAATGAAATGCACTCACCCAACATCTAAACTACTTTCCCCCACGGATGGAAAGTATATCGGATATGCTCTGTGTTGCATATATTACGACTGAAAACTCCCTCTCTAGAAGACATGCAACGGTAAAAGAAAAGAAGATTAGTCTATGCTTGCCGATGACAATGATTTTGAAGGTTGACAAAATAAACAATGAATTTTACAATCCCATAGGAAAGTATACTACAGTTATCGTACATCCAGTTAAAATTATAACACCTTTTGGGGAATTCTGTTATCTCTTTGTCATATCAAGTTATCAAAGTACGGTGAAAGGAACTTACTAATCACCATTAACCATGCAGTTCCGATGCTAAAATAACTTTTCTTGCTCAAATTTTGAGGTGCTAGTGCTAGTAAAAGTGTTTCCTGCATTAAAGGGAAGAAAATGAATGAGCTTATGGTTGGATTGGAAAACTTTAACTATGGAGTCATTTATTCTACATATTTGAGAAAACTAATTAAGTAGCATTCAGAAAGAGCTGGCAATACACTGAAATGGGCTGAGTAGACCCAATGCATTTAAACTGAATATTCATTTATGCAAATAGGAGGCATTACTTGATTGGACAAAGATTCTTTTTAATAGTTCAAGGTGAATCACCAGGATACATAAGAGCCACATCTATCCTGCCATCACTCCTTAGTGGGCTGTAGGAAATCATCTCTGTTTACAACGACAAATGCTCTGCTACTATTATGAGCTCATAGCTAGTAATTCAGTTTTAAAAGACCGATAACTGAATATAATTATGAAAACTACAACAATTCCATCAAAATAACTATTGCAGAAGGCCTGGATGAGTAAAATAAAAATAAAAAGTAATACCTCACAATAGAGAAGGATGATAGGGAAAGGGAAGGGAAAAAATCCTGTAGACAAATATACACCATATTAGCATACAACCCATAATTGACCATATTAACCATTCAATGATCTACCAGCTAAGAGAATTAAAAATGTAAAGAAGGATCAAATCCATTTGGTCCAATGATATGTATGTAACATTGCTAGGATAGGTATAATAGTCATACAACAAAAATACTGAAAATGGCATGTAGATAGTAGAGTATTGAAGTAAATCGGATCTTCCTGCATATAAATCATCTATTTAACTTAAAATCTAGTTCTATTAGCGCCAAGTCTAATTCATCTAGAAATTACATGAAGAACCAAGTGGGCAGTGAGAGCAAATACACAAAGAAAAAAAATGTTAATCAGTAAGTGACTGAAAGCCTACCTGATGCTTGAAATACTAAGAGCTTCAAAACACATATCGTCTATACATTATCAATAAGAGCTCCTCTGACGGTACATAGCATGCAATTTGAGAGGGGAACGGAGGCAGATATGCACATCGGAGCAGCGTTCTTGGTTGGCCACGATACCTTGATCGCTGGAGATTGAAACGACCTTAGAGGTTTGGGTCAGGAGCCTCAAATCCATGGCAGCGCATCGTAGACGAAACCCCCACCCCCTGCTCCAGCAATGCCATCTTCGATGATGCTTTAGGCCAACCTAGGGTTTGGGAGGTGAGGCTGGGGATTGGAGGCATCGATTGGTCATAGTAGAGAGGGGCCGACGGAATTAGGGAGCGAGAGGGAGGATGGGAGGGCAGAGAAGGAGGCAATGTAGGCGAGAGGGCGGGCGGGCGAGCAGGTGAGGCGACGCGCCTCCGCCGCCGTCTCTGCCTCACGCGAGAGAAAGGCGAGGAGCGCGAGGCCGGTGCCTGGGCAGAGACCGTGAGACAGCGAGGAAGAGGCCGCGTCTGGTGTGCGGAGCGAGGGGAGCGGCACGACAGCAGGCGAGCAACGGCGGCGGCGGCGACAGGCGAGCAGTGGCGGCGGCGGCAGGCGAGATCACGTGTGTGCGAGCCTGGTAGTGCGGCTAGGGTTTATGAGCGGCACGGCGATGATGGTTGGAGGAGGGCGAGGATGCGTCGGCGACGGCTCGCGCAAAGGAGAAAGGCGACGGTGGCAGCGGCGTGGCTGCGTAGAAGGGCGAGGTGGCGGCGTTGCTGCGGCAGGCTGCGGGCGAGACGGGCGCAGGGGCTAGGGTTTGGTCCGGCTGGACAAAATCTACGCCATTCATTCGCGATTTGACTATCCCACGGCTGAGAAAGGGCCGACACAGCGGGACACGTAGACGGCCAGATCGACCCTATGGTGAGATCTGACAGTGGACAGCAGCGGAAACCGGCACATAATTAACCGAAAGCGCAGGGGGGTTTTTGTAAAAAATGCTGACGTAGCGCTCTAAATTTTCACCGCTCCTACGGCGTTTAAGTAAACCAATATATATGAATCTTATCTGGTTATGTGAATAACAAATACTTTTGAGGGGTAAAATTATGAAATGTTGCCATAGATGAATTATTAAAGTTGTACTTGTCAAATTTTTAAATAAAATGTTTTAAATACCTATAGCAATTCAATGGTTAGATTAAATTCTGCTACTCTACTACTGTCACAAGTAAAAGATACTATCAGAACAGATGATAAAAAAAAAGTCTAGCCACGATAAATCGCACAAATTGTTCAAATGTTTCATACAAGATAATGGTTATCTCAAGGTCGAATTACATCCGTCAGTAAAGAATTATTCATATGTTTCCGAGAAGATAAATGTCAACTCAAGGTTGAATTAAATCTATTAGTAAAGCAGTTTGAAACTAACGCAATGTTAGCTGCAAAAAAAGTGAACTCACAAGAAAAAGGGCAAATCTAACCATATGATCAAAGCCACCACGCTAGCCGATGGAGAAACTCTTGCAAGTAACACGGTGTAACCTAAATGCAAGCCAACATAAATCATATGGAACCGCCACCTTGCTTACTTATGCAGGTGTCTATTTCATGATCGCACCACAACGAGGGGTGGGTTGATGATACTTCAGTTAGCATCTAACATGATCATTTAAATTTTTTAAGTCCACACACTCAACCTGTACAACAAAAGGAGAAAAACGAGAATGGACTATCTACACAGCACTTCTATAGTTAGGCAAGCAAAACCCCTTTCTACGGTTTTCGCTTCATTATGAAACCCTCAGAACTAGAGAAGATCTGTGCGTTTTGTAGCTGCAGCTGGGGGGCCTCTTCAGCGAGCAGCAGCAGCAGCCTGCTGGTTCTTCTTCAACTTCTCATCGCAGAACTTCTTGGTGTCAGCACCCTTGACGTTGAATTCCATCAAGAGCTCCTCAAACAGAACGGCCATGTTGGTTTTGAAGGATGCAGCACGGCCCTTGCACAGGTCTGGCTTTTCAGGCTGCGGCTTTGCTCCGCTGCTGCTGCCGGATCCTCCTGCATCAGTGTCGTCCTGCTGCTTCGCATCCTCCTCGTCCTCGTTAGGGACTACGGACCCAACCTTATGACCTTCCATGTAATATTTGCATGCAGCCAGAATGGCATGACCACGGTGGCGGAAGTGGCCAGCTACAAGGGCATCAAAGTGCTGAAACAAATAATAAATGACAAGGGATGTTATTAGATGGTCTTGTGTGTAAGCTATGGAATCGCATCAGTTACAGGCAAAAGAGTGCCATGCTCATAATCAAAGAAACAGATAAGCATGCCACAATAATAATTGTAAAAGAAATGTTATTCAAATGCCTAATGGATGATTATTTCTATGCTACTCCCTCCGTCCCAAAATATAGCAACTTTTAGCTATGAACCTGAACACATAGTTGTCTAGATTCATAGCTAAAAATGCTTACATTTTGGGACGGAGGTAGTACAAAAGAGCTTGATAAGCAGCACAACATTACCTGTGGAGATCTACGGAGTGAGTATAACATCGTCCTGCATGAGTACTGAAATGTGGTATCATTATAGTCCATGGCACTCTTCTGTCCAGTAGCACTGTTGGCATAGGTCTCATATCCTGGCTCATTGAAGTATGGGTTCTCATTCAATACGAGAGCTTGAATGGAGACTAAAACCTGTAGCATAGTTGAGTGAGCTGAGTTCCACTTCTCACAACCACTACCAGACCAGGTGCCTAGCAGGCTAAGACAGACTTTTCCACAAGCATATAAATTTGGATTGAGCCGAAGCCCTCCAGAATGATAATATACCACCTGGGAAAAAAATATCAGCTTAGATATTTCAATCAAAACATAAATAAATTAAATAAAAAATGACAAGAACAATTTTTGAACACGTACTGGAGGAGTAGATGGATAAGTACTAGTAAATTGAGCATCAAAGAAGAAAAGGCCATCATGGTAAGGTGTTCCTTGAGGTCCAATTATTACAGCCCTCAGAAGGTCCATTCGATTTTCAGACACACGGACATATATGGATGCTGCACAGAAGAAAAAGAATCAGAATTACAAGAATTATGTATTTATGGAATAAAACATATCAAGACAGAGCAAGCATATCTCTAACTTCATCTACAACAGTGTACATATGTATTGCAAGTCATGGATGTAGTTTGTAAACCTCTGGAGCTCCTATATCTGTGAGCCACAGGGTATTCTAAAACTGTGTAAATAGAAGTATTTTAAAGTAGTGAAGTTATGAATCGATAGGACTAACAATATGAGCATTTCATCATCAACATTTGCATCTCTACAAAAGATACCTCAAGCTTTTACAGAACAGTTTTTTACGAGTACAAAGCAGAATGCTCAATGTTGATTAAAGAACTAAAAGAAATTTCAATAAATATGCAGATGCAACATTTATAACAACAATGATACAACTGTTCTTTCCGAAGTTGACCTGGTAAATCTTTCTCCAGAAGTTTCCAGTCATACTGAATCCTTTTTGTCCAGTCTTTCCCTGTCTGATATTTTTATTTAAAAAAAGTTAGTTTTGATCTGAAGAAAGGAGTATAAAATGATACAAATATGCATATGATCTCTTACCTTCCCAACAGGCTTATCAGCATAATGATGGTCCGAAAAATTCTCAACAACATCAAACTGCTTAAAGAATTCATATTTCTTAGTAATATCAGCATCTAGTTCTGCCATTGACTTGAAAGTGCTAGGTCCATCAGCAATATCCTTTTTTTGCAGCCATGGAACGGTAGCCTCCACTCCCGGAGGCAAATCCAAACCATCAAACTTATCAGCTAGCTGCTGATTGAAGTCAGTTTCATCAAATTCATAGTCTCCATCATCATCATAGCAGACATCATCCTCATCATACAAATAGTAATCTTCTTCCTCATCTTCCACACAGTCAGAATTCTGCAGCTCAGGTTCAGGTGCTTGGAAGGAATTATTTTCAGTACTGAGTCCAACTTGATCATTGGATGAAGAACCCTACAAAGTATGTCATGGTTATTGTAAGAAATAAAAAGATCTTAGACAGCTTGCACAAAAAAGACAGGATTTCAGTCACCGTTATTACTTTTGTAAATTTAGTTTCGCATATTATGATTTTATTGATATTCATCATTAACATCTAGGATCAGATCTTGCATGACAACCGATGACATTAAGCATATTACTTGATTACATGAGAATATAATGTAGATAACACAAACTACGATGTTGGAGGAGCAATATATTTACATTACAAAAACTGAAGCAATAAGGGATTATTGCCAACCATTCAACCAATCATGAATATGTGAAACCAGCATAAGGGGCGAATTCGACATATAAGGGTTTCAACATCATAGTTTGCAATGATGAATATAATGTGAAACACTTATGCAATGATGAATATGCCCCCCTTATATGTTGAAACCAGCATGAGGTAACATAACCCAGCATAGCGACTTAGGGAGCTAAAATGGACGCAAAAAAGGTTCAGGAAGTCAAGTGGAAAACAAGGCACAGACTTTTTCCTTTTAATTTCCAGTGATCAGATGGTCTCTACACACACCCCAAAGTAAAACTGTTGTTTTCAGATTCACTGCCCTATTTCTGTACAAGTCTAATTACTCAATCATACAGATGATTCATACCCTGCTACGTTGGAAATACAATTTTATTTTGGCTTCCTTGTTGCTTATGCTGTCAAATTGACGATTATACGCCTACATACGTGATATGTAGTAACCAAATACCCATAGCGAAGCACATTACAGTACATGTATGAGTTTAGCAGGAATCCTATTAAAGATGGGAGCATACGTATTGATTTGGATCAATATAGAATTGATCTTTGGTTAGTAATAATAGGAGCGAAGCAAATAATCTATGCAGCTTCAACTTCAAGTCTATGGATCCTACACATACACAATAGACTAGCATGTAAGAACATCTTATGTAGTTTTTGCATATCATAAATGTAATCATCCTTGAATCTACAAGCTGAAAAAAATAAAATTTCCTTATTGAAAGCAACACATGTCGCAATATCTACCAAATCGTGCAAGTCCAACCATATATGATATTACAGCTGATGACTAAGCCTACACTGCATAAAAACCTCACAAATCACGAAGAATCTCTACTAATATAGCTTCCATATGATCTAACAAGGATGATATTTGTTACATAATATGGATTTCCATCACAACACTAGGGCACTTCAATGGTTTGTATAAATTCAGACAAAGGCAAATGTCACTACTGCTCAGAATTAGTACAGAATTAGCACATGAGAATAGTGCCAAACACCCCAAATCACTAACCCAATCTACAAGTAATGCTAGCTAGGAGTTAAAAGAATAAACAAAACCTCCATTCTACCATATAATAAACCTAAACAAAACTGATTTGCCGCTGGTCTCTAGTCTCAATCTCTTTAATCATAAACGTTTGGTGGCACACTCGTGTGAAATAAATCTCTACTATTACAAAAATTGAAGATGTTTTTGCCAATACTTTGGTACGTCATCCGTGTATGAGTCAGTTTTTGAGTTTGTTCGCTTTTGGAAATACAAATCCGTATTTGACTCGGTTTTTAAGTTCGTTCGCTTTTGAAAATACAGAAGGAATCATATAAGAAATCTCTTTAAAAAAACTTACATGCTAACTTGAGACGATTGGACTCTTAATTGCAGCTCATGATTTTCTAACAAAATATGTATCCAAGCGAATTTAACACATTTAATTTCACCTTAACTAAACCATATATAACAATAATAAGATTAAAATAGTCTTCACCCGTTGCCTCGCACGGACATTTTTCTATTAAAGAATAAAGCGAAAAAAAAATAAGTTGAAGATAGAAGAGCCCAGATTCCAAATGAAGAAATAGAAACTCGAAAAGGATCCTTCTAATTCTCAAAGAATGAGGGGCAAGGGGATTGATACCGAGAAAGATTTCTTCTTGTTGTAAGAAGTGATTTGATCCGCATATGTTTGGTAAAAAAGAAACAATCTTCTCCTTTAATCATAAATGTGCATTTGGTGCATGTACGTCTTCCGTGTGATCGAAAATATAAAAAATAAACAGATCCCAACCCAAGATCAAATCACCCCCAAAACCCAAAACCCTACCACCAACACGATGATTCCACCTCAATGAAAACCACGACACCACAATCCCACCGGTTTGATCCAACAGAAACTAAATCCCAGGAGAAAAGAAAAACCTAGATTTAACAATCTCGCCAAGAACGAATCTCTCAAACATAGCAACACAGAAAAACCAAAACCCCTCGTACCATGATCGATCGGATCGACGGCCTAGTAGATCAAACAAAACACAACGATCGCATCCCGGATTGCACAAAAACCCGCTCAGATTACACCCAACCAACGGCGCAAAAAGAAAAAAACTTATAACTTCCTGCGATTTCAGGCCCAGAACTTTCGGGGGGCGGGGGCGCAAGAACGCGACGGGGGGTACCTGGCAGCGCTGCCGCTTCTGCTGCTGCACCGCGTCCCACACGGCTGCGTCGGCGGCGCGGCAGGAAGCCGAGGACGACGACGAGGAGGACGCCCCTCCTCCTTGCATCTTCGGGTAACTGCGAGGAAAACCAAAAAAAGAGAGATAAAAAAATAATCAAAAAATCATCCCAAAACCCCCCCACCCAGAATCGGCCCACGCGGTTCCTCCACGACGTAGAAGGGGCGAGAGGAACCCTACCCTGCGGCGTCCATGGCTCGCCGCGGCGGCGAGAAGCGCGGCGGCGGAGGAGGCGGAGGAAGTGGGGGGAGAAGAGAAGACGAGGCGAACGAGAGGAGGATTTCGTCGCGTGTGCGCGTAGCGATTTTTATATGCGGCGGGGCCCACACACACACTCTCCCAAGTCCCACCGCGGGGAGCCGCGCGGCCGCTGCCATGTGGGGCCCACCGACGACGCGGGTCCCGTGGGACCCACATGACAGTGGGTGGAGAGGGGTGTGACGGAGATAGTACGGGTTTCCGATTTTGGGACAAAGTACTGCGTCCAGATGGGAAATAGGCCCAACAACCCCCGGTAGTTCAAGCCGTGTTGGTTGGCATCGAGACTATCAAAACGTTTGTTGCTAAATTCTCTCTACAAAATATAACGGATGTAAATATAGTAGTTTAATTATAGGGTGATTACATTATGTCCCTTATAAATTATATGAAAGTTTCATAAATCTCATGGTAACACGCTATTTACGCAGAGCGGATGTTTTTTTTATGAAATCCCCTCACTCGTACGCACGTTGTGATTTTTTCCATCCTCGCTCGCACGAATCCTTGAAACAAATTTAACGATTCAAAATTATGTAAAAGTTACAATTTGTAATTACACGTAAGTTATGATGTAATTACACTGTAATTTTTGAAAGAAAATTTATCAACAAATGTATAACAAAATCGTTTAGGATCAGCTTAATTCTCAACCTTCCATCTAATTTAAATCCAATCGTCTTAGTGTATAAGTTCCCTTCTTTTTCAACTCCCCAACCTCTAACGAAACAATGGTCTATCAACATTGTTTCCTTTTTTTTTGACTTTTTAATATAATAATGATTTATGTCACGCGTCTTACCTGTTATTTTTTTGTCATTTGAGAATCCAGCGGTCCACGGGCACTCTATTCCACCGACCTACAACATACCTCCAACACAACGACAAAATATGCAAATGGCAAGAAACATCTTGATCTATCTCTATCTACGATCTTGTCCATTATATATATCCTAATATTTTCTTGATGGTTTAGTGTGGTGGCCGACGAAAAGACCCATATCTTTCTACATCATCACCGATGAGACTGCTCTAGGGTGCTAGTGTTCTTTTTTATAAAAAAAACAGTAGAAATTAAGTCTACTGTGCTATATTAATATATCCAATAAGTTCCTTGTGTTGATTTTCATTTATGTTAAAAAGGAAACTTATGAATATCATGCATCTGTGTAACCGTAGGTTAAATGTTCATCATATTTTTTTCATGCAAGGAGTCAATGTTAGAGGAGGTATTATGCACAGATTGTAAGGACTATCTATGAGAAATTATGGGGTAAAGCCGTAGAAGCATGGCATCTCCTACATGTACAGGTGTAACAGGTCTAGGAGTACAAGTGTTCACAAACGTTAAAGTGTATGGTTTTACTGCATAATGCACGTTTTCTCTACCTTTCTCCATTAAGGTTTTGTTGTACAATTTTTTTTCGTTGTTATTTCAGAAGTTTTCTTTAAGGGGATGTCAAAATTTTAGCCAACTGAATCATTTTTATAACTTTTCTCATCCTCTATGACAACCTCCTATTACATATTTATAAACAAAATTCTATTATTTTCTTAGATAAAAGATTGGACAATTAATTAATACAAGCTAAATAGGGAATAAAGTTACAATTCATAATTTTTACCTACTTAAAAGATTCGTAGTATTTCTACAGTCCCACCCCTCTATATCTATTACCCTTTCGTCCCAAAAAAAACTCAACTTCTACAGTTTAAATTTTATCCAAAAAAAACTAACTTCTACCATCCTACCTACTCTCAGCACATAAAACGAGAAGTTTTATCTCTTAAATATCATTGCCTACCTATCACCATTATTACTTTTTCCAATAATGAGGGCTATTTTGGGCATTTTTACTCCCCACTAATTTTACATTGGGATGCTAGGATTGGCCTTTTTTTTTTGGGATTGAGGGAGTATTATAAAAAATTAGAGGTGTTTCTACCGTTCCACCTCTCTATTTCTACTATTATAAAAATAAAAAATGTTTTTGTTGGGTGCTTGGTACGTTGTCCGTCTTTCATACGTATTCGCCATCCATCTTTCACGCTAGCCCTATCATATATATCACATATATGGGTCGGCAGATAGGATTGGATTAGGGGAGACCTAATGGAGTAGCTCTCGGGAGGCCCATCAACCGTGCAATACTAATATGTGTCTGAAAGTTCAAGTGCCATTAATTAGGTTTTGGTGATTAATGACAAATCCAATTATGTGATACTGATGTTTTTATAAGCATTTCTTTGCCTAGTCTCATGTGGATATGAAAGTAGAGTGTGTGAGAGGTGATTCCCGAACTTCTTATGAGTTGAGATAGAAATATTCATTGATGGTGGACCTAAATCACAATGATGAAATGCATGGAGATCAAGCTATATGTATCACTCTTTCTCTTCATGTACATATTGATACGTTCATATATAATATTTCCATGTGAATAACAATATACATGTGAGACTAATGTTTTGTTTGAGTCTTTTCTCTTGTTTAGTCTCTTTACATTCAGAACATGAAGATGATGAAGGTATACATTTATTTTAGTGCTTATATTTGATAAATGCATTCTATTCTTGTATAGGGTAAGCTCCTAATGTTTCATTCTTTTATGCATACTCTTGCTTCATACAAACATTTTGTATGCATACATTTAGGAGGAGCAAATCATATATTTTAGTTATGCATGTAATCGATCCAAGTTATTCACTTTCATTTAATTGGGATCTTTACATTTGAGCATATATTTGAGTATATGACACTTGTGGTATTGATTAATACTCATCATTTATTCATATTTTTTTATACATGTGATGGGTTGGTCAACATGTGGAGGTTGCCAACCGGATCATTGGGACTAATAATTTTATTTAGTTGAATGAAAGAAATAGGTCCCAAGGATTGCAAATATGTTGATGCTCAAGTGATATAATTACACCTAACAATACCAAGAATGACAAAGTGAAGATATTGAAGATGTGGGATACGAAGTGGCTACCATGGCAAGACGGTGAAGGCCATGTGAAGCTCAGTCACGATGGACCATGCGGCGGTGAAGGGCAAGCAAGGGGCTTGGCGCCGAAGAACTGTCACGCCCAGAAATTCACGAACCAGAATTTCTAAGCTGAATGTGCATTAAACCCCCTGTCCAGGACCAGCTAGGGTACACAAATGACAATTGTTGACATACAGATCCACGTCTTACAAAAATATAAAAGATTACAAATGCAGCGGAAAAGATAAAAGCGAGCTAAGTCTGAAGACTTGACTCCTGCAGCGGGCAATTCCATTCCATAGGCATCCTTGACAGCAGCGACGAAACCAACTTCTTCGAGACATCTCCAACTGAGAAGAACTTCAACTCTGGTGTGGGGGAAAAGAGAGTAAGACTGAGTACTACCCACTGTACCCAGCAAGTCATACCGGAAGAGAAGGTATGATGCAGGATATATCCAAGGGAGGCTAAAGGTTCATTTGCACAAAGCAGGCATTTAAAAGCAGTAGTTGAAAGCAGTAAAACAGTTGTAGTAATTAATCCATATTAACCAATCACTGCTCAACGCTACACCACGTTGCAACAGGCCCAACCAACCACCTGAACTACACCAATTCAATAGCTAACTAGGGTGAGACTAATCACGGTGAATCTGGTCGACCGCCCATAACCGCGGGCATGGCTATTCGAATAGTTTTACTCTGATCAGAGGTGTACAACTGTACCCACAAGACACAGCCCCACGACATGTTTCCGTGCGCCGACATGCCACCACGACATACCAGAAAGAGACCATGACAGGACCCTTCGCATAGCCCCCTCTAACCGATCGCACCACACCTCAGGGTTCGCCCCTGTCCCCAGCAGGCAACGGGCAGCCCCCCTCTCGTGCCGCGGTGAATCCGGAAGCCGATCAACCAGACACCTCGGCCGACCCAACTCCATCACGCCCACTCTCGCCCGGGTACGTCGGCTAGAGGAAAGCTACACTACAAGCCCAGCCGTTGCCCACGCTGGCTTGTGGTAAGTACGATAAGTTCTTCCAGGGCATCCCGCGAACCGGTCCTTAATCGCCATGGGCACGACTAGAAAAACCATGCACCCACAGCCCACCACGTAGTGTATTTTAATTAACTAACACCATTACGGTGGCACTAATCCAAAGCTATACCAATAATGTCTATGCATTAATGTAATTCCCCCTTTGTGTACTACTTGAACTAAGCATGGCTAAGCAATCCCTAATCCAACATCTAATCATTTTGATACCCAAGTTATCAATGGTATAAGGTAAACAATATATATGGCTGAGTAGTAGGACCCATCCCACATGATATTATGAAATAATGCAACCTTTAATAGAAATGCGGGACATTTGTAAATTGGGTACAATATGATCAATTATAATGCATGACTTGCCTTGCTCTCGCACTGATGAGACCACAGCAACGTCTTCAAGAAACCGCGGATCGACGAAACGGCCGAAATCTATGCGACAAACAAAGCACACAAGCAAAACATGCTATAAGACTACTGAAACAGGAAACAAAACCATTTTTAAGCGGAGAGGGGGCGGCTGGCAGGCAGGCCCTACTAGAAGCGGCTCCAAGGGAGGGGACGTGGTGCCTGGCTCGGCACGGCTCCAAGTCGGCCGGCCGGCCATGGGGCAACGGTGCGCGCGGAAGTGGCGGCGGCAGCCGGCATGACCGGCGACAAGCGGCGGCACGCGGCGACGCGGCGGCACGACGGTGAAGCGCCGGACGACGACGACGGCGCGGCTCGGCGCTAGGAGGGAGAGGAAGGGGGAAAAAGGGGAGGGGGTGCCTCACCGGGGTTCGGCCGGCGCGGGAGGAGGCGACGACTAACGGCGACGGCGAGCGACCGGAGGGCGACGACGAACGGCGGCCGAGCTACGGGACACCCTAAGAGAGGAAAAGAGAGAGGTTAGAGGGAAAGAGAGGGAGTCCACAGCGACCGAAACCCATGGCCGAAGGCGGCGGCAATGGTGGTACTCACCGGCGTGCGGG